ATTAATCTCCCTAAATGAGATACATGGAATCCATTACTGTCTGGACATTACCTTCCTACCAAATAGAATAAAGTGATTTAAAGTGGACTTTATTGATAGCAGACTTGGTTACACTGTCGCCAGCTTGCCTGATCCTTGCTTTTAGTAATAATGGAATTAAAATTAAAGCACAAATGTACAGGAAAATAAGTTGTAATTGGAAAATTAGAGGGAAGATAGGAAAGGCCTCCAGCTTAGGTAGCTGGAGGGGGCACACTGATAGCAAAGGGGTTCAGACTGCCCCACTCCCAAAGACAAAAGGCTGGCCTTCAAGGAGCAGCTGATGGGCTGGGGGCCAGCTGGTCTCTATCTCTGTCCTGGTGTCATAGTTCTGGAACTCGTATGGCTAAGGGATGGTTATGTTCCCACGAAAGGGAACTGCCTTTGTCTGTGGTGATCTCGGTCAGGCAGTGTTCTGCCTCTCTTGGAATGCAGGTGGTTACAGCTTGGGGACAATGGCTGGAGGCTTCCAGGTGTAACTGATTATCTCTGTAATGCTTTTAGTGTCCTTTGTCTTGAAGAGGGTTGAAATCCTGATTACAACCTTGTCAGACCAGCTTCTAGGCAGATACTCCCTGAATGATCAACATACCCCCATGCAGAGCTAAAGGCTTACTGTAACAGGGATACAAAATGAAAGTCCAACTTTTCTCTGCTTTTAGTTCCTTTAAGCATTTGTAAGTCCAAGTGAAGAGTCCTGGTTCATAGCAAAAATGGCTTGCTATTCCAGGAGGAAAACATAAGTTATGCTTCTAATGTGCAGAAGGTCAGAACACAGGATTCCTCCTGCTCACCATCCTTATAGTGATCCTTGATGATGTTGTTAGGTAAAAGCTGGATCCTGCCATGAAGAAGTCTCAGTTGACAGTTGTATGATTAACTATGTCTTCTAGGGAATATTTTTTTCTTCCTTTGAGGCCCTTGTGACTGAATAAATAAAATAGGCAGTATTGACCCATCCAGAGAGCAATAGGTGCCCATTACTCCATAGCTGGATGTCTCTCTTTAGTTTGTTCTGAGACCAGGCAGTTTTCTCCACCCTCACCAGTGGTCTGTCCTTTAGTGGATCCTGGGCCATATGAGCACACTCAGAGATAGTACATTTTCTTGGGCTAAAATCTGAAACCAGAAATTTGTGTGGAGCTTATCTAGAGCTAATGATGTTTTCTTTCCTTTTCCAAAAGCTTCCATCCACCTATCCAGCCTGCTTGTGGCTGACTTTCTGCCTAATATGACTACATCCAACACTGCTTTGAGAAATTATGCTCTTTTCTCCTCATAAATGCTGCCAAAGTTGTTCCTAAACTTTCTCTACTACTGTGTTATCACTTAGTACTTTTGCGCCACAGAGATTGAACAAGTGCTGATTGCTTCCTTGTATGTGGAGAAAAATATAGATCACCCTATTTTGCTTACCAAGAAAGGATGAAAACCTAGGCAGCCATGTTGAAGGAAGAGTAATTAATGCAAAATTTCAGAGACACAAGAAAAATACTCATAAGGAGAATGAACATCATGGATCTTCCACATGGGATATTTTTCCATCAGCCAAAGTGAATTAATGTAGAAGGGAACAGAGAACTCAAGCTTCAACTTGATTGAAAGTGTCTAAAATGTGTGGGCTATTTTTTTGTAAAAAGCTGGTGATATGATTCTGTAATAAAATTTATTTTAAAATATTAACTTCAAATTTTTTTAATTTTAATTTTTTTGAGACAGGGTCTAACTATGCAGTTTGGGCTGGTCACTTTTGTACCCCTCCCCCCAGACTAGTCTTGAACTCTTGGCAATCTTACTGTCTCAATCTCCTGAGTTCTGAGATTACAGGCATGTGTTACCATGTCCAGTTCTGCAGAAATTTTTAGAAAACTATGTTTTTTAGAAATAATAAATTATAGAGACAGTTGATACTAAGTAGATTCTATTTTGTGTATATTTGCAATATAATTGTGATTAGTAAGTATATGTAACATGTAGACAGTTACATATTTGTCCTTTCTTAGGCATACTTCACCTCTCTATCTCTCTCTCTTTTCTTTTTTCTTTTTTTTTTTTTTTTGTATTTTAGGGAAGGGTCTACAGGGTGTTCAGGGTCTCACTACTAGATCGACCTTGTAGTGATCTGCCTGTTTACAGCCTCTGGAGACCTGGGATTACAGGTGTGCATCACCATGCCCAGTCTCAATTGCCATCTCAGCGTGCCCTGGGGGTGGGGCCGGCATGGCAAGCCCCAGGATTCAACCCCTGGCCCCTGAGCCTGCTTGCAGGTGCTTTAATCCACTGAGCTATTTGGCTAGTGCTCTCTCTCTGTCTCTCTGTTTCTCTCTCTGTCTTTCTCTCTCTGTCTCTCTCTCTCTCTCTCTCTCTCTCTCTCTCTCTCTCTCTCTCTCTTGAGATAGGATCTCACTATGCAGTTCAGGCTGGCCTTGAGTTTACTCTATGGCCCAGGCTAGTCTCAAACTGTGGCTGTCCCCCTTCCTCAGCTCGGATTATAGGCATGCGCTGCATACCAGGTTCTTTCTTAGGAATATTTTAATTCTAGGAGCCCAGTGAAAGATAGATTCATTCAAAAAGATGAAGCACAAATATGTGATATAATCAGATATAAATATCCTGTTTGATTTAGACTGTGGGTGAATTAAAACATTACTGGCTAGGTGTGGTAATGCACAATTATAGTCCCAGCAACTTGGGAAGCTGAGACAGGAGGATTTCAAATTGGAGGTCAGCCTGGACACCTTGATGAGACTTTGTCTCAAAATAAAATAAAAAGGGCTGGGAGTGAAGCTCAGTGGTAATTTTGCCTGGCATGTGATAGGCCACAGATTTAAACCCCTGAATCACATTGTAAAAAAAAATGTTTCTTCACTTCCTGTGCTTTGGGGAGCTGTAGTTGGCTGAAGATTTCTATTAACTCCTGATCTAAATTGAAGCTGTCAAGTTAATGTTAAATTGATACTCTCAAAGAGCCTGTGGATCTCACAGAGAATATTATTTCAGATAAAAGGAATTCACATGTGTACAGAGCTATGGGAAATTAGATTTAGTTTGAGAAGCCTCTGTGTTGGTGCTATGATGTGTAGCAGATCTTGAGTCAAGTTTGAAGTTTTTTATTCCTCACATCTTTTTTCTTTCTTTCCTGTTTTTTCTTTTCTTTGCCCCTTTAGTCTTGAGGCCTAACTGGGCCTGCACTGCTGACAAACCAGCTGTGGTGACAGGCAGCAGGTCTGCTCCAAAGTGTGTCCTCTGCCTGCCGCACGGACAGTGAAACAGAAGAGGTAGCAACACAGGGACCTGGAGGCAGGGCGGCATCGTCAGGGGTCACTTCTTCAGTTTATATTATCTAAATTATCCTTTTTTTTTTTTTTTCCTGTGCCCGTTTCATCCTGCCCTGGGACAGGGCTGGCAAGGCATGTGGTGCCAGGGATCCAACCACAGTCCTTCAGCTTTTTTTTTTTTTCGGAACCTGGGATTGAACTCAGGCCCTTGCACTTGCCAGGGAAGCACTTATTCTACTGAGCCATTTCCCCGGCCCCATATATTATCTAAAATTAGGGTGCTGAGGAATGTTCACGTCCTCCCCTCATCCATATGGTTATACAAATTTGTTCAAAATAGAAGCATGAATTGAAATTTCAAGATGCACTGAAAAAAATTGAATACTTGACATCTGAAGGGAAACATCACACTGTGTTAATCTTTCTGTTATATACCTATGTTTCTAAAAACTTTTTCTAGTTTTTAAAGTATGGCTAGATTCAGATAACAAAGTTCCTGTATTTTATCTAGAAGGAATGCTAAAAATCTTGTTGCTTAACTTGTCCGGGAAAATCCTGTTTATACTGAGAACTGTAAGTAAGCCCATGTGCTAACCTGCTATTTTTAAGAGCTTAGGCAAGTTTTGTAGGCGAGCCCCGGGGTATCAGGGTGTCTGCACGGTACGCTGAGTTATAGTCCTGGCCCTCAGTCCATCCACCTGTAGCCTGCCTGTCGGGCGGTCACTTTTCTCAGTCGTAGAATGGCTTGCATGTGCTTCCTTGGGAAGTTAAGACCCTGGCTGCTACTATCTTTTTTCTCCATTTTGCCACAAAATGTTGTTTAAATTTTTTATTTTGTCTCAATTCTTTCACCCCTTTTTACTCTAAATGATTGATATTTAAAAAGTTTCAATTTTGCAAAAAGAGGTGAGAGAAAAATAGACTTCCATAACCCTGGAAACATCCCCTCCTTCCTCCTGTCTTGCCCTTCCCCTTTCCTGGGCCACTTCACGCCCCTTTGGGGCTATGTGTGCACATTGTAATGTTCAGTTGATGCTTGACAAGGTTTGAATTTTTAGATAAATAAACTTTATATTTTAGAACAGCCGGAGAGTCCCAGAAGTGCACCCAGGACACATTCTCGGGGGCCAGTCTCCTTCCTTGTGTGAGGGTGATACATCTGGTACAATCAGTGAGCCACACTGGCAGTTTAATTAACGAAAATTCATGCTCTGCTCTGATTTCCTTGTTCTGCCTTAATGTCCTCTTTTTGTCCCCAGAGTCCACCTAGGAAGCACATTGCACTTTTTCATATCTCATTAGACCTTTCTTGGTTGTGACAGTTTTCACATATCCTTGTTTTTGGTAACTTTGATAGTTTTAAAGCTTATTAGTTAGGAGTTTTGTAGAATTGGAATCTGTCTGATGTTTTTCTCAAAATAGCCTGGATATTAGGGAATAAATACCCGTTTTTAGGGAAGAAAATCACAAATTGACGTTCTTACTGCAGTTTTCACTTTCTCTTAAAGATCTGCTAAGCACGTTTGTGGAGACGTTAATAGCATGGTCATTCAAGCCAGAAGAAAGCAGCGGGTGGTCCATTTGTTTTGTTTACTGTCACAGTTTTAAAGCATGTAAGAATTCAGAACAAACTATTTTTGGTGACAGTATAGAATACCTTCTTTTTTCTTTCATGTGCTGTAGGTGGGAATGAGATCCCGAAATCAAAGTGGTGAAAGGTCCTCGAACGGGCATTTCTCCTGCCCCAAGACCTCCAACACCAGCAATGCTGATGAGAAAAGTCTCTTGGAAGAGGCAAGAAAGAAGAACAAACCAAACAGGAAGGAGGAGGATGTCATGGCTTCAGGAACAGTCAAACGACACCTGAAGCCATCTGGTGAAGGTGAACGGAAGGACAAGAAACGTCTGGAGCTGTCCAAAGAAGATCTCATCCAGCTACTCAGCATAATGGAAGGGGAGCTGCAGGTAGAGCTGCACTGTCAGTTATGGTTCCCAAGCAATTAAGAAAGATTATGAATTTGTCCTCCTCACTGCATTACAGACTTCTTGAGGAAGGGAATAAATCTTTCCTGCTCATTTTAAAATCCCTACATGAGGCCTGGCACAAGTTTATACTTGCATTTTTTTTCATGAAAGATATGTTTGTTACATGAAAGGTGCCGAGTTCAACCCCAGCCTTCTCTAGAAGCAGGCTCTTTCTTTCTTTCTTTCTTTCTTTCTTTCTTTCTTTCTTTCTTTCTTTCTTTCTTTCTTTCTTTCTTTTTTTTCTTTTTCTTTTTCTTTTTTGTTTTTTTGCATTTTAGGGAAGGGTCTACAGGGTGTTCAGGGTCCCACTTCTAGATCGGACTGATACTGATCCACCTGTTTACAGCCTCCCAAGAGCTGGGATTACAGGCATGTGCCACCATGCCCACTCTCAATTGCTGTCTCAGCATGCCCCAGGGGCGGGGCCAGCTCAGCAAGCTGGGGGTCGAACCTTTGACCCCTGCATTTGCCTAAGTAGGTGCTTTAGTTCACTGAGCTGTCTGGCTGGCTCAAGGCTGTTTATTTATGATATAATTTTAGTAATAACTTAAGATAGATTCCTGCACTAGTGAATAATCAATGAGATTTACTAACTCAGATATTGACTGGTTGAAAAATGTAGAAATGTCATAATTATTAAAATAGACTGTTAAGATCAATTGTTTTGCTTTTCTCTGGCAGGTAGAGTAAAGGAAAGCCAGCAAGAAAAGGGGCAGGAGAGGAAAGAGGCTTTTTTGAAGTCAGAATTATCACCAAGCCTGTTCCCAGTTTTTCATACTTTCTAACCTCAACTTTCTATGATGTCACAGGATTTGAGATGGACAACAAGAAGAGAATATAATATGAGGAGGAACCTAAGAGTTTCTCAAAGCATTTTCAGATCTCTTAGCTCATCCAATCTCATGAAAATGTGAGCATCATTATATATATTTTATAACTGAAGACATGGAGTCCCAGAGCCAAGTGCAGCTTGTCCGCCTTCATCCCAGGCCTCCTGACTCGTGGTCTAGTGGTCAGTCTACTGCCCCCATTCCAACCTCCTCTTAGTTGCTCTGAGCTGAGTCTCTCCCAGGAAGGCTGTCATTTCAGGAATTCAGTTCAAATTCTTTTGAGTTTCTGAGTTCCTCTGTGTGTGTGTGTGTGTGTGTGTGTGTGTGTGTGTGTGTGTGTGTGTATTTGGTATAGCGTCTCACTACGTAGGGGGACTTATAGTGGTCTTCCTGTTTTCAGCCTCCCCAGCATTGGGATTACAGGTGTGCACCACACCTGGTCGTAAGGACAGCATGCCTGAGGGTGGAGCCAGTGCAGCATGTGGTGACCCCAGTCCCAGTGCTTGCCTAGGCAGTCACCTAGTCTGCTGAGCTATCTTGTAGACCTGAGCTTCTGAGTTCTAAACAGTTGTATTTGTGTCAGTAAGGGAACAATGACTTTTTAAAAATATGCTATGACCATAGAGTGGAGTTGCTGTTTTCCTTTTTGTTTTGGTTGCATGAGCCTCCAGGGGAAGGTGCCAGCTGTGTGACACGAAGCCTTCTTGGTTTTCCAGACAATGGCTCCAGTAAAGAGGCTGCTCTGTTCTCTGCTGTGTGTGTACAAATGAGGGTGCCTCTGGGGAAAGAGAAACAGAAAACAGACAAAATTAAGTTTGAATAAGCAAACAAACGAGATTGAGTGTAGCATTTATAGAGGGAGGGAAGTCACGCTTGTATTTGAAGAAGAAAGGTGAAATTTTCCAGAGTGCCACCATTTCTAAAAATAGCTTCACCACTCCCAGGAAAGTGGCTAGTGCTTTATCTGTGAACGGTCACTGTGTATGGATGCAGGATTACTCCACCTCGGTACGCTGCCTGCTGACCGCTCTCAGCCTGCGTGCAAGCGAAGGAGATAGCTATCAATGCAGTCCAAGGGCATCGGAGCAACTGCCCCCACTCCTTTGCAGCTGGGTTGGCTTTTTTGAAGCCCATGGCTCCCACAAACTCTCCTTTGTGCAAAAGGCTGTTACAACATGGTGGACAGCATGACTTTTAAATTTATTGTTATTTCTTTATTTAGATACAGGGTCTTACTATGCAGTTCAGACTGGCAGTGATCTTCCTGTCTACACTGGTATCTCAGGCTTGTGCCACCACACCCAGTTCTGGGGCCCGCGTGGCCTACTTGGGGTTTTGGTCAGCACAGCCCACTCACCACCCCCAGATCACGTGGTATGTGGTCCTAGAGATCGAACTCAGGACCTTGTGCTTGCCAGGCAGGTGATTATGCTGCTAAGCTATCTCTTCAGTCCCAGCATGACTTTTAAAGTGCATGTGGCTTTTAGGGGTACAGAGGTGCTGGTGTGGTTCCAGACTTTTGCTAAGGAAGATATGAGTTCACACATCCCGATGGCTGAAGAAATTAGCTAGGAGGCGCCAAAGAAAGCATTTTGCTTTTCATTAATGTTTTTAAATACAGGATACCTCCCTTACACAGTAGATGTCTTCTTCAGCAGCAATAAATAAGTAAAGTGTAGATTATCACTTCAGGGGAGACAGTGAAGAGAAATGAAAGAATCAGTATTTTAAGGAATCTTAAGATGAATCCATTTGTAAAGCAAATGCTGTCACACATACATTTATCAATTTGTTTTTTTAAATGTTATCTTATTTTGAAGAGTAAAAACAGAAGCAAAAACAAATAGAAAAAAAATACAGAAATAGAATAGCATACAACAATACATATAGATTTTCAAAACAGGAATAGCTAATTGACAATGGTTATTGTATTATCTATTTTTATTGTCAAAACTATTGCTCAGATTAACAGATATAGTTATGCAAGATTGTGGAAATAATTGAATAGTGGTGCTTGCTTTCAAGAAATCTTAATTTTTTTTCCCTTATTTTTATTTTTATTTTTTGGCAGAACCGGGGATTGAACTCAGGCCCTTGCATTTGCCAGGCAAGCGTTTATTCTACTAAGCCATCTCCCTGGCCCCCTCCTTGTCTTTTTTTGTTTTAACTTTTTTTTTTTTTTTTGGATAAAGGAAGCAACTACAAAAACTTTATTTACTTGTTCAAAGTAACCAGTGCTACAGGTGCAAAACAAAACCCCAACAACTCCCCCAAATACAACTTTCAAAACTGACATATTGAGCTTGATTTTCATTAGAATGTTTTTTTCACACTAGTAAATTAAAACTAAGATATCTATCTATCTATCTATCTATCTATCTATCTATCTATCTATCTATCTATCTATATGATGTAAGTTATTGAGCTTCATCTTCTGGACAAGAATGCCAAGTTAGTCTCTCTTCACAAAAAGCAATTAAAATTTGAGGACATTTCCTACTTGCCTCCTTGCCGAGCACCAAGTCAGCCTCATTTGAATCTTTCTATTTCATGAGAAACATCAATTCTCTGCTACTGTCTGTGGCACCAATTATTCATTCAGGATCAAGACCTCTAGCAAAACTTTGCAGTTTGCCAGCAGCATCCATTTTTTTTGGACTTGCTGTCATCAGATTCACTGTTAGATAAAGATTTCCTTTTTGTACCATCCTTTTCTTAACCAGCTTTCTGTGAATTAAGAAATGCTTCAAGTAACTCTGCACAACCTAAATTTCCTTCAGGCTCCCAGGTATTGTCAGCATCTGTAAATCCTTCTACTTCAGAAAATGCTCCAGCTTCCCATTCACTACATGTCATTCTAGTACTTCTTCTACCCCAAACTCTTCAGGTTCTGCTTCCTCAACTTTTTTACCTTCTCCATTTTGTTTCTTTCCCATTTCTCACAATGCAGTTTTATTGGAGACCATTTTTTACTGCAGACTTGAAGAGCTATTATTCACCACCTCAGATGCTCGGTTGTGGGTCCACGTCTCGGCCAGCACGCCTGCAGCTCCACTCGCACCTGAGCACAGGAGGCCAAGCTGTTTTAATTTGTTTTAAAGAGAGTATAATAATTGATAAGACATTAGAAATAGTGCACATGTAAATGACCAAGATGAGAGATATTCTACCATGGGTTTGTATTGCACATTGCTGTCCTCGATGTAGTTGCTCAGATTGCAAATATCAGCATACAGAGTTAGTCAAGGTGAAAATTCTAAACATTAACTGTTATTTTAAAAAACTGATGGAAATTATGAATGCAGTCATCTCAGCCAACCTGTATAAATGCTTGCATGTTTTTCCTCCCTTTTTTCCTATCTTTTCTCCTTTCTTTCATCTTCATTGTTTAATCCTTAAGTTCCGCTTCTTTCTGTTTTACTATATCTAGTATACGCTTCAGGGTTTATTTCTTCTTTCAGGTTCTTACATCTAGGGAGACAATATGATATTTATACATGTGGTTCTGATTTATTTCACTTATGAGTATAGCCTCTAGCTGCATCCACTTATCTATAAGGCTTCGAGTTTATCTTTCTTTATAGCTGAGTAGTATTCCACTGTATAAAAATACCACATCTTTTTCATCTATTCCTCAAGTGATGGGCATTTTGGTTGTTTCTAAGATTTGGCTATAACAAATTGTGCTGCTATAAACACTGATGCACATATATCACTGTGATATAATGGTTTCAGTTCTTTTGGGAAAATACCCACAAGGGAAATAGGCAGATTGAATGGAATTTCTAGTCCTAGTTTTTTGAGGAGTCTCCATACTTCTGCTATAATCTTTATAATTTCCTCCCATCTTTGGGCTTTAGGCTTGGTTTGCTCTTCTTTTTCTAGAAGCTTGAGGTGCAGCATTAGGATATTTATTTTTTCTCACTCTGTTTTCCTAATGTGTGAATTTGCCGCTATAAATTTCCCTCTGAGAACTGCTTTCATTACATCCCACAAATTCTGGTAAACAGCGTTTGGATTTTTGTTGGATTGTAGATATTGTTTTCTTTCTTCTTTAATTTCATCTGTAATCTATTGGTTGCTGAGAAGGGTGCATCAAGTTATTTAACT